CCGTGCCCGGCCGGGAGGAGGCGCCCGCCTGGGCCCCACCGCCCCGCGCCGCGCTTGGCCGCCCGCCCTCCGGCCTCCCCCGCTGCCTCCGCGGGAGGCAGACTGGCTAGAGTTGGCGCTGACTCGCAGCTTAGCGACCCGTCGCCCTGGCAACCCCCGACGCGCGCCCGTGGCTGCCAATGAGGCAGATGGAGGGCGGGGTGGGGCGGGTCCAAGGCGCCGGTGGCGCGGGGTCCCGGGACCCGAGCCCGCCCACCTCTGGGCCGGCGCTAGCGGAGGGGTTCGCTCCCCGTAAGCCGGGCCCGGGATGTGCTCCTTGCAAGCCTGACAGTGGACCTAGCGCGGAGACCTGACGTCCGACCAACTCCTGCCTCAGCAGACCGTTTGGCGTGGCTGTGTGCGCCTCCAAGCTGGGTGGGCCCAGAAGAAAGAAACCTGGGACGGAGGAAAAGCCCAGCGCGCTACCAGGACCCTGGAGGCGGGACTCCGAAGGAGGGGCTTAGGAGCATGGTCATTGTCCATCATTCATGTTCAGCGGCGTGCGACCAGCCTCCCGGGCAGGGTCACTTCAGGATAGTAAGTCGAAACACTGTTAAGTTCTGGCCTTTTTTAGATCTGAAAGGTTGCGGGACTCCGGGCTTGACTCCTCCCCCCCCCCCCCCCGGGTTCTGCCTATTGCTCGTGCACTCACACCCGCAGCTCCGGCCCCGGCCTCCAGAATACTCAAGGTTTGTATGTGGCTGCGGTGAACCGAGGTCTCGAACAAGCGACCGCCTTTGAGTGCCACCAACGCAGTGCGCTTGGTCCCGTGACTTCCGCATGCATGTTCCAGCTTACAGCCCTTTAACCTGCCTTCTTCCACTCAGGGTCCTTCTGACTAAGCTTCTGGCAGAAACGCTTTCCCAGGCTACCATATGCCGCCCAGCACTGTGGTAAAAGCCACTACCCGATTTTAACGGTAGGGACACTGAGTGAGGTAGAAAGACTCTTGACTTCAGCTGGTTTCAGCAGCTGGGATTTGAAACCAGGCGGTGAGGCTCCCCACCATCTTAATAAACGAAAACCACATCATTCCATCCCTGGCAGTGAACTTTCCCCCAATAGAATCTCTGACTCAGAATGCAAAATCTAAGAGGAAAGGTGTAATTTATCCCGTAGGAAAGAGGAGCAAAGTGGCCCACAGTTGTTAGGCAGCCTACTCGAGGTTACCTCAGTGATGAGAGGATGCAGCTTGGGCTCTGAGCAAGTGGTCAGGCCTCCTCCATCTGCCTTCTCTGGGACCCACCTGCAATGACCCATGTCCATTGGCTGCATGGACAAACGTTAGGATGCCCTCCAACTCAACTCCATGAAAAAAAAAAAAATTAGAGACAGAGTCTCACTATGTAGCCCTGGCTGACCTGGAACTTACTATGTAGATCTGCCTTACCTGGAACTCACTGAAATCACTTGCTTCTGAGTGTGGGATTAAAGGCGAAACACCTGAGCAACACAGCAAGAATCCATCTCAGAACTAAAAGGCCAAGTGTAGTGACTCATGCTTACACTCCCAGAACTTGAGAGGCAGGGGCAAGAGGATTGTTACAAGTTCAAGGTCATCCTGGGCTATACAGTGAGTTCAAAGCTAACCAGGGCTATATAGCAAGTGCCCGCTCGAAAAAGGGGACAATGGAAGGCACAGAGAGAGCCACACCCATCAGCCCATCTAACCAACCAGCCTGGGCAACATAGAACTTACCTCAAAAAGAAAATAGCATATAAATACAAAAGAAGGAAGGTCTGGGGATGGGAGCTGGAGAAATGGCTCAGGGGTTAAGAGCACTGGTTGCTCTTACAGAGGACCTGGGTTCATTTCCCAGCACCCACATGGCGGCTCACAACCGTCCATCACTCCAGTTCAAGGGGAATTTGACACCCTCTTTTGACCTCCATGGGGATTGCATGACACAGGTGCACTTATACATAAAATGAAAACAATTTTTTTCTTAAAAAAAAAAAAAAGGAAGGTCTGGAGATGTGACAGAGCTTTTGCCCAGTATGCTCCAAGCCCTGGTTCATTCATTCATTAGCACCGGAAACGAGAAGGGGGAAAAAAGAAAAGAGAAAAAGAAAAATCAAAGGTAATTATTAGATAAAATGCACAGCGCCTAAGTGCACAGTTGGGTGTATTTTAACAGATGTGTATACCCATGCCACAGCTCTTTCTTTTCTCTGTGTTTAAACTTTCTCTGGTTTTTGTTTGTTTGCTAGTTACAGGGTCTCACATAGCCCAGGCTGGCCTCAAACTCAATATGTAGCTGAGGATGACCTTGACTTCTGATCATTCTGCCTCCACCTCATCAGTGCTGGGATTACACTGGCCCCATGGCCTATTTATGTGGTATGGAGGATCAAACCCAGAGCCTGTGGATGCCAGGCAAGCATTCCACCAGCTGAGTTACATCCCCCGCCTTTATGTCCCATTTCTAGGATCCAAAAGTTCCCTCAAGGCTCTTCAACCTCCCAGAAGCAACTTTGATTGTAGCTTCTATCATCCGGGGTCAGAGTTGCCTGTTGAATTTCCTGCAGATGGAAACATAGCACATCCTTTTTTTCCCTCCTGGTTTCTCTTGTTCTGATCCCTAATAGATATTTGTTTGCTAAAGGAACAGAAGGGCAGAGCAATAACTGGTCTTCAGGCAAGAGGTTTCTCAATATCAATAGATATGAGACACAGACAGAGGCAAGTATTGCTCTAGGCCAGGAACCAGCCATGACTCTCCATCCTGGAAGAGACTGGCAAAATGACAACACCAGATCTGAAATGAACAGGAATTCCTGTCCCCAGCTAGAGGGGCTCCAAGTTCCCCTCCCAGACCTCGTTAAGTCTTAACCCAATACTCTCCACATGGGAGGACTTTTCAGAGGAGGTGGGCACTCAGCAGAAAGCTGGGGCACACTCAGCCAAGCATGAATACCTCTCCAACCCTCTCACCCTGCCCCATCCCCCTAGTCGCTTCTCCAGGGGACATTCACTGTGGAGGAGGGAGCCCTATCAGCCCACCCTCACCACATGCTCGGGCTGGCACTGAAGCATCAGTCAGCCCTCCTGAACTCTGTGGGCCCCCACCAGCAGTCCTATGAGCACCTCCACTCCAGTACCAGCCAGGCATTGCTCCCAGGGCTGGGAGCATGGAGGCCAGCCCTCTGCTTCCTTCTGGGTCTTTTTCTTGCTCTCTGTAGGTTCTGTACCTTCACCTCCCACTAGGCCCCTCTCAGTGGGTAAAGGTAAAATGTGATGCGTTCGGGGCCCACGCAGGCTGGCAGCGAGGCAGTCATCTCAATGAGTCACATTGGCACCGTGGGTGCCTGGTCCCTGTTGAGGTGTTACTAATGAATTAGCTTCACCCCCAGCATGGGGCCACTCAGCCTTGCCCCACTCCCTAGGAAGGCAGGAAATAGAGACCTGTGAGGGGGGAACCAGGGTTCTGAAGCCCAGGTTCCAATTCAGACCCAGCCATGGCCTCTGCCCACACACATGTTTTGCAAAAATACCCAAAGAGCAGGTCCCCAGGCTCCAAAATGGCCTCTCTATTCCCAATCACCACCTATAATGATCTTACCCACCCTCAAATCTGTAGTTAATAAAGAATTTTTTTTTAATACAAAAACAGCACAGAGCTTTGTGTGATAAACACCGCTGTACCTGGTCTCCAGCCTTCACAATTGAGTTTTCTTGTATTTGTTCTAAATTTGTTTTCTTTCAAATAAAAGAAAGAAATAGATACTAGAGAAGGAGGCTTTTGTCTCCCATCCTGTGTCACCACAAGGCACCCACGCCTCCTCCAGACTGACCCTGCCCAGGCCCCTCCTGAGTGCCCCTCCCTGAGCTATGACTACTGGCTGCTGAGACTTTTATACAAGTCACAGAATGTCATATTACCAGAGGTTCTTAGAAAGCAAGGAATGGAGCTTATTAGAACCAACCAGGAACTGTCAGAGGAAGGAGTGGGCTCAGCACTTCCAGGAGGTCAGACACTCAATGTCCAAGAAGCAGGACACCCCCAGCTTTCCAAAAGCATGCAGAGGCAGATCTCACCCATTGATGTGGGAGGTTTCTATGGGTTCACAGTCTCCTGGGGGTCCAGTCTAATTCATTCGGGGAAAAGGAAAGGTGTCCTTCATACCACAGCTCACTCCCCTTACCCGCACCAGCCAGAACCTAACTCCTTTGGGTATTTTAGGTATTAACTCAACAAACATCAAGCACCTAGCTCTAGGCCTAGACATTGGGGATTGCTTTGACTGTGCACACAGTAGCAAATCTTCTTGACTTTGTGGACTGTATTCCTACCAGTAGAGATGGTGGAGCAGTGGTCAGAATGTGGAGGGAATGAAACAAGGAATGAGGAAAATAAAAAAGGAGATAGTAGCCAGGGGAGGCTCCTTGGAGAGAACAGCATTGAGTCAGGTCAGGAGGAGGTGAGCATAAGGTGGGCAGGTGTACATAGGTATGCATTCCTTGAGGCGGTCAGCGGGGCAAAAGTGGGTATTGCAGAATATCTAGGAGTTTTCTGGGGCCTGTGGAGCTACCAGCACTGTGACTACAGATAGGGAAGTGAGGAAATATGAGGAGGAGGCCCCTGCCTTTGGTGTTGACTTTAGGTGGAGGTCGCTGAGACTGGAGCAGAGTTCTCAAGCACAAGAACAAGCTTCTCTTTAGCTGCAGCTGGAGGGAAAGGTGTGCACAGGCAGGAAAGAAGCCTACAGGGCGTCCCCTCTCCCACACTATCATGAGCACTGTCATTTACTGAGCGCCTACAGGCTGTCTAATTCATCACAGCTCTGTCAGGCAGGTACGATATCCCCCACGGCCCTCCCACTCGACAGATGAGGAAACTGATTCAGAGAGGGTAGGCAGCTTGAGCAAGTTCACACAGCTGGTAAGCATCAAAGCCAAGATGCAGACCTATCTTTTATCCCCAAAACCACACTTTTCATACTATGGTTCATTGATTCAACTGAGACAAATCAGAGGAAACCCACCCCCACAACACCCCCAGGGTGCCCAAACACTTGAGCACATCCTCCAAACTGAGATTTCCAGGAGGACCCCACTTGAAGATTTTGCTGCAGCTGAAGATGGAGAGGAGGCATAACACTCCCAAGTCCCTATCTCAGGCTCCAGGACTCACTGTTTGCCTAACTGAGGGGCAGAAGTATCCTGAAACGGATAGGGCAAACCTAAAAGCAGAACCCCAAAGCAGACTCAAGAGGACAAAGAGGGCCCGAAGTCCAGGAAGTCTGGGTTCAGGATTCACCTAATAGCAAATTAGAGGCAGTCCCTGGTCCATCTTTACATTTAGCTCAGAGACTGCCTGTGCATAATGAAATGGAACTCATGGGGTCTAGGTCAATCCCTGTCAACCCTCTCCTCTAGCCAGGAGAAACCTGAGCCCAGACATAGCCAGGGGATCACATTCCATGAAGCCCTAGTTCACAATCACCTGCTTCTCTGTTGAAAGATGAACTCTCTCCTATCCACTCCCCAACCCTACCATACCCCCACCACCCTCCCAGGGACAGCAGAGCTGGAACAACAGAGACCAAAGGAGTATAAGGAAAAGAGTAGGTGATTTGGTACCCCAGGCCAAGCCTCCAGGACTGGAACCTAAGTATCTTCATGGATCCTAATGCGCTGCCATATTGCAAAATGGGATCCAGGCCTGGTGACCATGCCATTGGTTATTGGATTGACGGTTGCTAAGGATGTGAGTAGGTAGGGCACCCATCTTTCATGTTCTCTTGGGGTCATCTGTCCACTTGAACTGCCCACCTCCTCTGAACCTCAATACTTACTTCTTACCAGGAGAAAGACCCTGAACTGAGTTTAGGAGAGTGAAGCATTTACCCTGAGTCAAAAAACTGACAAAGAATGAGGCCAAGTGTGGTGGCTCATACCTGTAATCCTGGTACTAGGGAGGTGGAGGTGGGAAAATCAAAAGTTCAAGGCCAATCTTGGCTATAAATCAAGTTTAAGACCAGCCTGAATATCTGAGACGCTATCTCAAAATGGGAGGGCAGGGGACTAGAGAGATGGCTCAGAGGTTAAGAGCACTGGCTGCTCTTGCAGGTTCTGTTCTCAGCATCCACATGGCAGCTAATAACCATCTGTAATTCCAGTTCCAAGGGATCTGATGCCCTCTTCTAGCCTCCAAACACATTTCTATGCATAGTCATACACATAAAATAAAAATAACTTAAAATTTTTAAATTGACAAGAAGAGGGTGAAGAGGCTGGGTATGCAGCTCAGTTGATAGAGTACTTGTCTTGCAAGCACGGGGACCTGCGTCTGATTCCCAAGACCCCAACAAAAATCTGGGTTTGGAAGCATGGGTTTATGATACTACTACCAGGGAGGTAGAGGCAGATGGATCCCTGGGGCTTACTGGCCATCCAGGACTAATTGGCAAGTTCCAGGCAAGTGAGAAATCCTGTCTCAAAAACAAGGTAGGGCCTGGAGAGATGACTCAGTAGTTAAAAGCACTGGCTACTCCAGCAGATGACCCAGGTTCGATTCCCAGCACTCACATAGCAGCTAACAACCATCCATAACTTAAGTTCCAGTGAATCTGACACCCTTTTCTGACCTCCAAGGGCACTGCACAAAACAGGTGCACTTACATACCTCCAGGCATTATACTCATACACATATTAAAAAAAAAGTTCGGGCTGGAGAGATGGCTCAGCGGTTAAGAACACTGACTGCTTTTGCAGAGGACCCGAATTCAATTCCCAGCACCCACATGGCGGCTACCAACCATCCTTAACTCCAGTTCCAGGGGAATCCAAAGCCCTCTCCTGACCTCTGAGGCATTGTACAACACGGGTGCACTCACATACATGCAGGCAATACACTCATACACATAAAATAAAAATAATAAAATATATTTTTTAATTCAAGGCCAGTCTTGGTTATTTTAAAAAAGGTAGATGGCTCCTGAGGAATCATGCCCAAGGTTGTCCTCTGACCTCCAAACACACAAGCACACATATGCACCTGCACCCATGCACATAAGCACATACACACACACACACACACACACACACACACACACACACAAAACAGTGAGGGTGAGGGTGAAAAAAAACCCTCTATAAGGTAGGTAAATAACAGTAGTTTCATGCAATCATGTGTGTTTGTGTGTGTGCCACGTATGCAGTGTTTGTGCACATGTGTGTACAGAGGCCAGAGGAGGACTATGAATGTTCTGCTCCATCACTTTCTAACTTAATCCCTTGAGACAGGCCTCTCACTAAACCTGGAGCTAGGCTGGTGCCACAAGCCCCAGTGATCCTCCTGCCTCCATCTCCTCCCACTTCCCCTGCAGCACTGGAGTTACAGGTACATATAAGCACGCCTAATCCTTTATGTAGGTTCCAGAGAAAAATTTTTTTCCCATTTGTATGTATGGTGTGCATGTGTGTTTACATGTTTGCATGTGTGTGAGCACACATGGGTGGGTATGAATGCATGAGGGTGTTTGTGATTGTTGAAGGCTGACATCAGGACTCATTCTCAATCACTCTTCCACCGTATTTAATGAGGCAGGGTCTTTCAGTCAAACTCGGAGGTTGCCTATGTGGCTAATCTCACTACCCAGCTTATCTGAGGGTCCCATGTCTCCACCTTCCAAGACTGAAATTACAGGAAGGCTACCACACCCACCTAGCATTTATGTGGGCTCTGAGGATCCAGACTCCTGTCTTCACACTTGCAAAGTGCTTTAACCACTGAGCCATCTCCCCAGTCTCTAATATTGAGGATTTGCAGTCTGGACCTCATATTGACCAGCAGAGCCATCCCACAGCTCAGTACCTGGTACTTTTTAAAATATCCTATGCTGATCCCCTCCCCCTAGTGCCTGGTCTCTAATGAACAGAACCACCCTGCCCTGGGGGAATTTACACACAGGGCCATACTAAAAGCTGGGTGGCTGGTCTAGGGAGACATTAACTTCGATTCAGTGTTTATCAGCAGACACTTTCCTGCATGCATTTATGAGCTAAATTGCCTGCCCAGCCTGCTGCTCTCCAGGGGAACCAGAACAAAGAGACAAATCCTTGGCTCAGAGTTGCAAAAGAGGTTTTTAAAATTCAGAGCTGAGACTATAGAGTCTTACAATATCCAGGGTTTGAAAGAGAAATCTGTTTTGTAGGTCCGAAAGCACACCTTTGAACTTGAAGAGCAGGCAGCTGATGCCCTTAAGCCCTGGAGAGGGACAACGTGTGTCATCACAGAAGCCAAGAACCTGTCCAAAAGGAGGTCCAGGCTGAACCTGCAGGTGGGAAAGGAGCCCTGAACTCACAGATGTCAGGGAAAGAAACCTATGGGGAGCATGGAGGAAGCACTAGCTGTGTTGTAGACCAAGGAAGGGGCAAAGGTAGAGCCTGAGGGTATGACCAGCCTCTACAGCCCCTCCTCTGAATCTTTCCCCACTAGGGTTGGGCAGAAGTTTCTGAGGCTCCAAGATAGATATAGGCATGGCAGCAAACAAGATGGTGGGCCTGAAGGGGTCAAGCAGTCACCATAAGGGAGCTACAGGGTAGATTCTGTGGCCCTCAAAAACAAAGGTCAGGTCTTCATTGATTCTGAGCAGATAGGTACAGGAAGGATGGGTGTGGATGACCAAAGCCCACAGAAATAACAGGCTGACTAGGAGTTGGTGGCATTCACCTGTAATCCCATCACTTGGGAGGTGGAGGCAGGAGGTTCAGAAGTTAAGGCCAGCATTGGTTACATAGCAAGTTAAAAACCAGCCTGGAATACTTGGGAACCTTTCTCAAAAAGAGTCCCTAACTGGGCTGGCAAGATGGCTCTGTGGGCAAAAGCACTTTCAGTGCAAGCCTGACCAGCTGAGTTCAGTCCCATACCCACAAGAAGGTGGAAAAAGGGAACTAATTCCTCAAAGTTGTCTTCGGACTTCAACACATGTACCATGGTACTCACCCTCCAACGCCCCCACATCATCTATAAACCCATATACTAATAATGTTTTAAAAGCCAAAACCAGGGGCTGGAGAGATGGCTCAGTGGTTAAGAGCACTGGTTGTTCTTGCAGAAGACCTAGGTTCGAATCCCAGCACCCACATGGCAGCTAACAACTGTCCTTAACTCCAGTTCCAGGGATCCGACAGTCTCTTCTGGTCCTCCACAGGCATTTCATGACACGGGTGCACTTAACTACATTCAGGCAATACACGCATACACAATAAATGATAGGGTTGAAAGCACCAGGACACAGATAAAATTCCAGCAGGATAGAGTTTATTAGCAAAGGAACACATGGGACAGATTCCCTTCAGGGTAGGGAAAATGTCTGCCCCCAGGTCGTGAGCTGGGGTCTTTTATAGGGAGAGGCTTCTGGGGGGTGGGTGCAGAAGGCAGGAAGATATATTTTTTAATGGTTTGGGGGGGCAGGAGAGTGGGACTGTTAAAACCTGCCCTCTTTAGAAATCAAAGGGGAAGCCTGCTGTGTTGGCCAAACAGTGGAGAAAAGTCTGCTTTTGACTTCAAAGACCAAGGTGCTTTTCTCAGGGGCTTGAGGAACCACAAAGCCCTCTTGGTGAGGGGGCGGGGCTATCTGAACCCTGACACACATAAAATAAAAATAATAAAATTTAAAAAAAAAAAGAAAGGAAGAAAACTGAAATCACTGAACTGAGACAGACACAGAACACCTTCAGCTTACAGACAAAACAACCCCAGAGAAATCGCCTGGCTTTCTTAAACTCGTCACTAAAATAAATTCCTTTAAAAAAGCCAAAACCAAACCAAACTCATAAATGGCACTCCACCCCCCCAAGCTTTGTGGAAAGTAGTTTGGTCCCTAGAGAGATGACAAAGGCAGAGAAGAGGACAGAATACCTGCCCTGATTGGATTTGAATCCCTAAGGACAGATTCATTCCTTGGAAATTGAGTGGGACTGGAAATACCTAGACTTAAGTCTTTGCTAAACCCAGTTAATGACAGACCAAGATACACATCCTCTCTCTCTCTCTCTCTCTCTCTCTCTCTCTCTCTCTCTCTCACTGACAGAGCTTCGTGTGACCTGGAACTCACAATGCAAGATGGCCTTGAACTTCTGATCCTTTCGTCTCCACCTCTGGAGTGCTGGGATTACAGGAGAGTGTCACCACCAAGTTCATATGGTGATAGGGATCGAACTCAGGGCTTTGTTCATACTGAACAAACACACTACCAACTGAGCTGCACCCCAAGCCCTGATGCATGCTTTTTCTTTTGTTACTGGAGATCAAACACAGAATCTCATGCATACTAAGCCCTCATTCTATCACTAACCTATATTCCCCTGTCTCCAAGATACATTTTTGTTTGGTTTTTGTTTATTTTGAGACAAGATCTCGTGTGGCTCAGGCTAGCCTCAAACTCGCTATGTAGCTGAAGCTGGCCTTGAACTTCTGATTCTCTTTCCTCCACCTCCCAAATACTAGGATTACTAAATTTGGTCCTCTGTAAACAGGAAGTGCTCTCAATCACTAAGCCATCTCTCCAGCCACCTCAATAATAATAATAATAATAATTATTATTATTATTAGTCATTTTGAGGCAGGGTTTCCCTATCCAACTGCTGGGACTAAAGGCATGCGCCACCACGCCTGGCACCTCAATTACTCTTAAAAGTCTTGCTATGTTGTCTACAGATGCACACCAGTGCCCAGCTCAAGATACAGCTTTGAGCCCCCAAGGACATCAAGTGAAATCCATCCTCACCTTGTGCCTGCCTATGCAGGAACTTGAACTAGAGTCACGTGTCTTGAGACATTTTGGGCATCTCTGTGTCTCCCAAAGGGTCTTTCCAATCCCACCCCAGCAGCTGTGTGCTGTCCCAGGTCCACCAAAGGTGCCACAAATGCCCATTCCTTTCTTAGTGATGGCATCCTGTATGCAAAAAGTGTTTGAAGTCTTCAGGGGCCTCAGCCTCTGAAGGCCCTTCTTATATTGGAGAATCCCACTTGCCTTACAAAATACTCCACCCCAGGACCCTGGAAGCTGAAAATGTTGGCACTCAGTTATCCAGAATGCCTTGGTAGCTGAGCCAGGTCTATGACCTGTGTGTCCTGGGACTCTCCCCCATCAGTACCACACATATTTCTGAATCAGAGGTGAGAAGGGCAGAGCAGAGGGGACCATGTACGATTCCCCAAGGTAGGGGAGTAGCAGCCGGGCCACATTCAAGACCAGCAGTAGGGAACTCAGAACCCTGGGCAATGACTACATAGCCTCTAAGATTTGTCTGCAGATTCTCTTAAGGATTACATAAGTGATCAAGACTTTAAAATTTTTTAAATTATATTTATTTGTTTTATGGTGGGGTAGGAAGTTGTGTATATGACAGGGCACATGTGTGAAGATCAGAGGACAACCCTCTGGAGTCAGTTTTCTCTTTCCAACATGTGGATCCTGAGGATCAAAGTCAAGTCATTGGGCTTGGTAGCAAGTCTTCACTTGCAGAGCTACCTCCCTGCTACCAACCCCAAGTCCTTCGAATAAATTTCTGTTTAGTTAGGGGGGTGTAGTGGCTAATGTCTATAACCCCAGCACTTGGGAGACTGAGGCTAGAAGATTACCATAGGTTTGAGGCTATTCTAGGGTGCATAATGAATTTCAGGCCAGCCTGGGCTATACAGTGAGATACTGCCCCCACAAAAATAATAAAATAAAAAATGAAATAGGTCATTTGACTGGCAAGGTGGCTCAGAAGGTAAAGGCACCTACCTCCAAGCCTGACAACCTGAGTTCAATCCCCAGGATCCAAATGGTGGAAGGAGAAAACCAACTCCAGGAGCTGGGTGTGGTGGGGCATGCTTTTAATCCCAGCACTCAGGAGGCAGAGGCAGACTGATCTCTGAGTTCAAGGCAACCCTGGTCTATATGTGAGTTCCAGGCCAGCTGGGGCTACAGGGAGACCCTGTCTCAAAAGACTAAAATAATAAATAAATAAATAAATAAATAAATAAATACATTTATTTTAAGCCAGGTATGGTGGCACACACCTTTAGTTAGTCCCAGCACTTGGGAGGCAGAGGCAGGTAGAGCTCTGTGAGTTCAAGGCCAGTCTGGTCTACATAGTGAGTTCCAAGTCAGCTGGGGCTACAGAGAGACCCTGTCTCAAAAAGACCAAAAAAAACAACAAAAAAAAGTTAAATAGGGACTGGAGAGATGGTTCAGTGGTTAAGAGCAATGGCTGCTCTTCCTGAGGACCCAGATTTGGTTCCCAGCACCCACATGGCTGCTAACAACTGTCTGTAACTCCAGTTCCAGGGGTTCCAACACCCTCTTCTGGCCTCCATGGATTTTTATACACATGGTTCACACATGATATGCTTATATACATACAGGCAAAACACAAAAAATAAAAACCAAAAATTTTTAAAGTTTTTAAAAGTGGGGCAGAAAGATTAAGAACCAGGGTGGTGCACAAGACCCATGCTGACTCAGTTAAAAACCAACACAGAACTGAGGAAATGGGTAGCAGGCCCCAACCTTAGCCAAGGAACTATTGGCAAGTGATTACTGCTGGGTGAGGGAGAGCGACGATAGGCTGAACTGGCTCCAGTGGATGAACTCACACCAAGACACACCTGGGTGTACAAACTTGACTCAATAGACTTTAATATATAAGACAGGCTTCGTGAAATCCTGTGGGGAGGCTATGGGGGTGGGTACAGACAGGGGCGGTCTAAATATGATTAAAATGTATGAAATCCATAAAAATTCAATTGAAAGTAAAAATAAATAAGGTACCTCTAGCTAGTTTCTGTGACTTTCAAGGAACCTTGAGACCTAGGCTGCCATTGCTTCTAGAATCACATGGCCTACCTCACCCCCACCTTCTACTGAGAACTCAGGAGCCCTGCACCACAAGATGCCTTTCTTCTGTGGGCTCAGGAATAAGTTTGCCCAGGGCCGTCTGTATCAGCCTCCTGCCTGGAGTGCCAGTGTCTCCTAGGTGAGTGTGACGCTGTAGCAAGACCATCATGCCTAGGGTCCATGCCCTATCCTCAGGCCCTGAGGTTCATAATATGTTCCCTGAGCACAGCTTGGCCACAATCCAATCTTAGGTCTGGAAGGCCTAACAGGCCATCTGTTTGGAGTGTTGTGTGACCAGCAGCCCCTGCCCTGGCCTCACTGACCCTTCAAGAGAAACCCCTGGTGGGTAGCTCCTAGTCCTTCTCTGTCTCTGCCTTTGCCCATGTGGTTGTTCAGGAACAGTTCCTGGGGAATGGGTGGCTCTCCAGATGGCCGGAGAGGAAACTGAGACATTTCATGCACTCCATCTGCCCATGTATATCATCCCCACAGTCCTCAGCACACCCCCCCACCCACCTTGGGCCTCCAGTTCCCACAGACATGCCTTTGAACAGCCCCCAACTCTCACTCTCCTGGGAGCCCTGTTTTCCCAGCTGGATAGGTGTCAAGCTCACAAGCTGCTGGCTCTGTGTTATCACATGCTCCTGACCAGATGGTACCTGTCAACATCAGCTGCCACACTACTGTGACAAGCAGCAGCCTCACACGTGTCCCAGTGCGAGCGTCAGAAGTATGGCCTGACTGTGTGACAGTCAGGGTTGCTCCCTTCTGCCCTGCCCTGCACCCCCACCCCAATACCGTCAGCACCTCGCCTACATGTGTCCTCAATCTGCCCCTAGAGGGAGGCCCTCTGTGCTTTAGCTGCAGAGAGGAAGGCCCACGGAATATTCTCAGCACCTGGCAGGCTGTGGGAGCTTAATAAAGGTTAATCATGAGCACTGCACACCTAGAAAATTTTCTAAGATATCTGGGGAGTGGCGAGGAGAGCTTTCCAGAGCAGCTAAAGTAGCCAACTGTCATAAAGGTCTGGCAGAGGGTAACCTTGGAGACAGGTCAAGACCCAGTCTATCTGAAGGGGCAGCCTCCCTGCCAGGCTGTACAAACTGATTACCCACCCACCAGGTTGGAATTTGGGGTCCTTTAGGCCCCCACAGGAAAGCTGATAGGGTCAGTCAGAGGCTGAGTGCCATGTGAGGGGAGGCTGAGAGGGAAGTATAGCCAGAGAGGGCTCAGCAGTCCTGAGGAGCCACAGCCAAGGCAACTGAACAGGAGATGGCATAGCAGGCTCTTAGCTGCCAGCTGCAGAGATGTAGGGGTTCTGGTGACTAACATCCCATTGTCAGAGCAGGTGATGCCCAGAAACTCACATCTGGTGTTTCTGCAGGCAGACAGCATTCTCTCATTCATCCATCTACCTACTCATCTATCCATCCGTGCACCCACCTACCCATCCATCCATCCATCCATCCATCCATCCATCCATGCACCTGATATTCACCAAGTACTTCCAAACATCCTAGATAGCAGCACTGCCTTGGGGCCTGGCATATCAGATGTGATAAGACAGACACTATCTATACCTTTGTTAAGCCTCATCAGTCAGGAGAGTGACCACTTCCAAGGCCTTACCTCCCTAGCCATGCCCCAGGCTCAGCCCTCTACTGTTTTCCCATACCTCATCTCCCTCAGGACCTACCTACCACTTGATCAGTTATTCACTCAGTGGGCAAAGGTCTCCAAGGAAGCAGACTTGGAGTTAAGTCATTCTACCGCGCTATAGCTGCCACTGGAGGCTCCCACTCCACCCCCTACCAGCAAGCCTCACCCACATCCCTTATGGCTGTGTGACCTGGGACTAGTCAGGCCTACCAAGCAGGGGCTCTACAACCACTTACGCTCAGCCTTAACCCTTCCTGGCCCCCAGGTCATAGGCCATCTTGTCTTCACACAGCCCCTTGGGCTCTGGCATAGGACCCAAACAGGGACCCATGGATGGGCTGCCTGGAGGCAGGCTACAGCTATCTCTAGGTTGAGACAGGGTCTCAGAGGGTACACTGTACTGCATGGCACTCCTCATAGGTGAGGCCACAGCCTCAGCTCAGGAGTTATTGTAGGGTGCCTCAGCTCACATGTCCTGGAAACTGGGCACAGAGTGCTGAGAGGCAATTAAGAAAGTGTGTCATCAGGCTCCAGTGTTCCCTACACAGACACCTTGTCTCCTGTTGGGCCAGATAGAGAAAGGTAGGACAAGGAGGAAACGGGAGCTGTAAAACAGCTCTCATGAGCAAAGAGACTCTAAATTGGGGCTGGATGGTACATGTGAGTGTTCACATGCATGTTTGTGTGTGTGTGTGTGTGTGTGTGTGAGAGAGAGAGAGAGTTTGAATTTGGGTTTCTTCCTCAATTGCTTTCCAACTTTTTTGAGACAGGGTCTCCCTGTAGCCCCTGCTGGCCTGGAACTTGCTTTGTAGACCAGGCTGGCCTCAAACTCACAGAGATCTACCTGCCTCTGCCTCCCAAGTGGTGGGACTACAGGTATGCGCCACGACACCCGGCTTAAAAGATTTACTTTATGTGTGTGAGTGTTTTACTGCATTTACCTATATGGACCATGTCTGCACAGTGCCCATAAAGGCCAGAAGACGGTTGTGAGCTGCCATGTGGATGCTGGAAACTGAACGTGGGTCCTCTGGAAGAGCAGGAACTGCTCTTAACCACTGAGCCATTTCTCTGGTTAGTTTTTTATTTTATGTGTCTGAGTGTTTTGCCTGCATTTATTTATAGTAAGTGTGCATGTGCTTGCAAACCCATGAAGGCCAGAAGAGGGTGTTGGATTCCCTGGAACTGGAGTTATGGTTGGTTGTTAGCTGCCTTATGGGTTCTGGGAACCAAACCTGGGTTCTTAAACTGTTGTGCCATCTCTCCAGCCCCTGGACATCTATTTTCATGTTTCTGTGTATCTATGTCCTTGGTCATCAGTGTGTCTGTATGTATGAGCATGTAAGGTGTTTGTGTGTGAACATCCATGTATCCTGTACATGTTTGTCTTGCATCTACAAATGTGGTTGTGTTATTGAATCTCGAGGTTTTTTGTTTTCTTGAAACATCTCATGCAGTCCAGGCTGGCTTGAACTCACTCTGTGTAGCTGAGGATGATCTTAAATTCCTGATCCTCCTGCATCCACCTCCCTAGTGCTCCCCAGGCATGTGTCACTGTGCCCACCTGTGTTACTGAGTGTCTGTATACTTTGTTGGCATAAATGTGTTGTGTCTGTATAGTGTCTTCAAGGCTCTATGTCCTTTTTATTTGTGCCTGTGTGTGCTTATGTGCTGACAGTATGGACTCGTGTGAGTAGGAGAGGGGATTGTCTCTGTGTGTAAATGTGTGTGTGTGTGTGTGTGTGTGTGTGTGTGTGTGTGTCTCATTGGGCAGGGAGGGGCTGGGTGAGTCCCCAAACACCCTCAGGTCCCTACCCAGCTATGACAAAGCATGGTTGGGACCCAGGCTTCTTCTCTCTGAGTTGGTGACTCACCCCTAATGTTGGAGGCCATGGACCAGCAAGTCCCCAAACACAGCCTGTGGGGCTGTCACTGGGCCCTGAGTCTGATTGGGTTTGGAGCCCAGAGACTCTGTGTCCCTGATTCCCCTCCTCCAACCCTGGGACCAGCTGGAGCCACCCACATCCCACATGGAGCCCCCACCAGGCTGTGGACAGCCCCCAGGCCTGCTGCACAGGACTACACTGGGTACAGCCAGGCCTCAGGGCCTCTAGAGCTGCAACAAAGATGCCCACTAAGGAGCAAAATGCAAACAGAGGTGGAGGAAGGCCACTGGACCCTGAGTGCTTCACCCACAAGCCAAGGTGTACTGTGAAGATATCTCTAGGCCAAAGCTGCTGCAGAGCTGCTCTACACAACCCCTAGCTGCTCAGCAGCTCACACCTCCTCAGGATCCAGGCTTCTGAAGTATAAGATGAGGGCTGATGCTGACAAAGCCACAGCATACAGCTGTACAGTTGTATACTGAGCAAATATATGTGGCTGAGTTACAACAGGTGCTGAGAGCCAGGCCAGAATCTGCCTTGCAAGCTAGGCATTCTGACACCAAGCTGCCTTATCATCCCACACATCTTTGATCACCAGCTACTGTGTTTAGTGGGGAGTCCCTCTAGTGGGCAACTTGTTCTCTTTCTTACAAAAAAGGCTGCCCTGCTCTGGTCGCTTGACTAGAGAGATACCGCAGTTGTTAGATCAGCCCTATTTCCTGTGCTGGTGTCCAGCTATTCTCTGATCACCCATCTGTCTTTCTGTCACTCTTCCTGGTCCATCCCTATACTCCACTCTCCTGAAGTCATCAATGTGGGCCTCAAATTCCTGCCTTGATCCATGCTTCCATTATAGAGTGTTAGCCAAACTCGGGAAATTTGGCAACTGGCCTCTTACCCCCCACCAATCCCCCGCCTGCCCTCTGCCCCTCTCCTGGATCCCACCTCCACCCTGCCCTGATTGGCCTCCATCCCAGACAGAACATGCCTCAACAGGGCAGGAAATCAAGAGTGAAGCAGAGAGTCCCCTCACTCCAAATCTGGCCCCGAAACCCATATCCAGATACATACCACTCCAGCTTGCCACCTTTCCGAAACCCCCACCTCCCCCATGACTGTAATATTCCTCTGTTTGGGTTTCTTTACTTCCTTAGGAAAGTAACCGGGAGAATCTTCGGGCAGGGGAGCATGGGGATGGCAGCTTGTCTCTCCATGGCAAACCTGGGAGGAAGAAACAGAGAAAGGATCTGAGGGAGGGTCCTAGGGTTACTCTGAACACACCTCAGCTCTGCCCCATTAAAGGCCTCCTGATGTACCACCACCAAGGCAGGCTTTGCTTAACCCAGGGCTTGGGGATGGAAAGGCACAAGGATTCCTTCCTCCTGGGGAGTGGCTGCAAGAGGGCATCCTGCTCCCTTACCCACTAAGCTCAGCTGGAAGCAGCATAGCGGCTGCTGTGAGGCACATCTTGATAGAAAGAGTCAGACAAGGCCGGGGTTCTACAGGCAGAAGGGAAGCTGATGGAAGACAGTGGGTGGCCAGGCCTGTGCCTTCTCTTCTGCCTTCCTCTTTAAGATCCCAAGAGCTAGCCAGGCCCTGACCACGGCAGCCAAGCCACAGCTAAGTGGAGGTTTTGAGGAACTGAGCAGGAGTCATGGGAGGGGCAAATCCACAGCTCATTCATCTATAAATCCATTCCCCATAGCCCCTGCCACCAAAGGGACATGGAGGAAGAGCAACAGAGGGAAATGTCACTGGACAGAGAAGAGGGAGGGGACCTGGGCAGGCAGGAGGCCAGAAGCCAGGGATACTAGAATCCAGCCCAGCCAGAGGAAACCATTTCTAGACAGGGAGAATACAGAGGCATGGGATAGGACTGAGCTGGACTGGAAGAGGCTTGGATGTGAGGAAGGGGGAGTAGGCAGAGCTCCAGTGACATACTGCCTTCCCACATGGGAGTACTGGTGCCGCAGGCCCTCCGTGGGGTTGGGGGTGGCCTCCATGCGGGTTATCGATTGGTTGAGGGAGTAGCCTCTCGCCTTCTGGGGCTGGATGCCACCTCGAGTCCAGTCTTCTCGGTCTAGCCCTTTGGGGATGTTCTTGAAGTACCTAGTAGTGACGCAGGGGTCCTTGGCCACAGATGGTGCCTCTTTGAGGCCTGTCCTACCCTTCGCCACCCACAGGATCTTGGACCTTCAGAGCCCTCTGGTCTCCTCACCTCTTCCTATGTGTCCCCTCTGTCTAACATGCCTGACCCCTTGTCCACCTAGGACACTCTAACTCAGGAAGCCTGCCTGTGTGCTCCACACACCTTATGAAAAGGGGGCAGTGAAGATAAAGCCAGTAAGTGAAATCAGTGATTGCAGCTGGGTGTGGTGGTGCACGCCTTTAATCCCAGCACTGGAGGCAGAGGTAGGCATGTCTCTGTGAGTTCAAGGCCAGCCTGGTCTATATGGTGAGCTCCAGGCCAGCTGAGGCTACAGGGAGGGAGGGAGGAAGGAAGGAAGGAAGGAAGGAAAGAGAGAGAGAGAGAGAGAGAGAGAGAGAGAGAGAGAAAGAAAGAAAGAAAGAAAGAAAGAAAGAAAGAAAGAAAGAAAGAGAAATCAGTGATTGCAACCTTGCAACCCCTGGGACCAGGGTATGCCTGACACCTAGCAGGAGTTTAGGACAGGTGATAGGTATAGGTAGGTGGGCAGAGGAAGAACCAGCCGAGAAGCTAAAGTGCAGGTGGGAGTCTACTGGGGCCTGAAGAGGGTGGTTCTCACTTAAGGAGGGACAGATCTTTGTCTCCCAGCACCCAGAATGCTCTTCTCTCCTCAATCCCCCCTGTGGGAACTAGAGGAGTCGCTGTGCTCCCAAGCTGAGCCTCAAGGTCCCAAGGGTTTAGCCCTGATGCCAGCAAGGCCTCTTCCAGCTCAGATCTCTGTTGCTGGCTGGTCCTGGGCAGAACACTCTTCAGTCTAGACTCCAATGTTACCTCCCAGGGACCCCCTGGCTCCAGCCATCTTGCCCCTCTTCCTGCTAACCAGGACACACTGCATTCCCCTGATGTGGTCACATGACTTGCCCTGCTGGTCCTCCACCAGTACCTGCCCGCAGTCAGCCTTGGTAAAAGACAGGAAGTGCCTTAGAGCAGGAGGTAGAAGAGGGGAGCCTTAGAAGATGGGGATCTTGGAATATTGATAACATGCATATATTAATTGATAAGAGATATGCCGAGGGGAAGCCTGGGTTTCCCAACTCTGGGATTCTGTCCCAAGAAACCTATTTCCGTTGGGGTGTGCTGACATACTCCTGTAATCTCAGCACTCAGGAGGCAGAGGCAGAAGGATCACTACAAGTTATAGGCACAGAAAGGGCTACACAGAAAGTTTCAGGCCAGTCAAGGCTACACAGTATAACTTTGTCTCAAAAATCCAATGGAAAAAGCAGTACACTTGCTTTACGCTGCTCCTACAAAGTCCTCCCCATCCCCACCCAGTCCTGGTCTTAGAAGATGTCCTGTGGCTCCTAGGATCCCTCTTCCTGGAAGTCCTCCTCCAGGCCTCATTCTAGCTTATGGGTTAAGGGAGCACAGAGCCCACCTGGCACTCATTGAATAGAGTGTCTTAGCAACTGCTGCAGTCGCCGCAGACCCTTGAATTTCTTTACCCTTCCAGAACCCACCAGCCTGTCTCCTGCATCCTGCTCTGCATTTTGGTGGGAGAAATGCTAGAGTCTGCTTTGCCTAAGCAAAGAGGTCCAGTGGAGCTGAATGTCACCCTAGGGACAGCCTTTAACTAGTAACTAACTGGCCTGGGGTAGTAACTGCCCTGACTCCCTCTCAGGCTGGGTTAGGTCAGAGTTGTGGGCCTTTCACTGCTGTCTAGAGTTTCTGCCACAGGACAACTGACCTCATAACACCAGGTTACTATCTGCCCTCCCTTCAAACCAACCCCGACATGCCTCCTGATATCCATCCTCCCAGTGAAGGGCTGGCACTTGATGTCTGGTAGAAGGTCTGAGTCTGGGAGAGTTCTGTGTGGGTCTTGGTTCTCCTAGCTAAAAGCTATTATTCACTCAGCCTAGTCCTTGAGGTCTGTCAAATGGGTCTCAGCTTTGGGCCAAGAAGGGAGTCTCACCCTTGATTGTAGGTAGTCAGGTACTGTTGATCTCTGTCAGGGTCATAGGCACTCTGGACATAGCTAGGGTTGTGAATAGTGAACCCCGTGGGCTCCTGCACAAGGTGAAGACAGGAGAACACTCAGAACTAGGGGGTGGGGTTGGGGGCAGGGATAGGTGCAGTAGCCTCACCTTGTTCCCCACTGTCTCCCGGCCAAGCAGAGAAACGTTGCTCTGTTGCATTCTTGGAGGAGGCTGGTAAGACCTCTGGCTTGTGCTGGCGGGCTGTGGGCTTGGAGCGGGCATCTGTAAGGAGCAGAGTCACAAGATGGGAGGCTGGAGTAGCTGGCTGAGGTCACAGGATGGAGGAAAGGTAGGTAAAGGCACTTCCTCTTCCTGCTAAACCATTTGCTGTTTCAGAGCATGCAGCTCTTTCCCAGATCCAGCCTTACACTCCATCCTGGAGTCCCTTCCTCCACCTCTCCAGATATTCCAGCTCTCCTGATTCTTCTGCTGGGGGCTCCTGTTACTCACCCTGGCATTCAAAGGCCTTTCATTTATTCTGCTGTACTCTGTATCCCGATCAGAGCCTCTTGCCAACACAGGGAGGAATTCACTTCCCTAGAGGGAGCAAAACAGCCTTGGATACCACCTCTCTCTAACTCACCCAAGTCATGTGTAACCATTCCCACAGGTGGTCCCAGCACAGAGCTTACTTGAGGGTGAGCCATGGGGAGGAAGTCCGACTTGGTGACACTTCGTCCTGGGTGGAGGACCTGGATAGGGGTCCACAGAGGAAAATCAGCTTAGCCACTCACCCCTGCCCTCAGTGGCCCCCATGTCCTCTGCTTCCAGCCCCCACTGTGCTGAGCACACAGGCATGACTGGGACAACTGAGGAGTGGGTAGAGTTTAGGGAAATGACAAGCCCTGTGGCCCTGAATGGGAGCTCTGAGTGACCTGGGCCTTGCCCCTTTATCTGTAAAGTGGAATACTGGACCACACCCATGTTTGAATGGAGGTCTTCATCTCAAAAGTTTGTAAAGGAACTACAGACCCCCAGACTTGGGAGTTTCAATCACTCCAAGACTACACTTACAGGGTCCCCAGGAAGCACCTGTGAGGGTGGCTGGAAGACAATGGGATTCTTGGAAGACTCCTCTGTGAAGCCTGTCTCCTCCTTGGGACCAACTGTCTTCTTCAGCAGGAGATCTACAAAAACCACTACTCCCTGTGTAGACTTGAGGTCACAGCTCTCTCAAGCCAAATGTATGCATGCAAGTCCTTTCTCCCCATGGTGGCTTCTGTTAGCTTCAGTCCCCCCTGGGGTCTCTCCTATAAGTCAGAGGAGGAGAGTGAATTTGGAGGTCCTACCTGGATGGCTTGGGGGCTCCTTGATATATTTGGAATTATATTCAGAAGTCATGAAGCATGGTCTCTGGAACACAAGGCAGGGCAATGGGGGCACAAGTGGGCCAGGGTGGAAGGGAGGCATTCTGCAAGGGTAGTATGTGAGTTCCTAGTGAACTTGGAAGAGGGGATCCACACAATGCCCTAATAGATTTCTT